AAGCAAAGGTGAGCTTCATACCCCCCTTGTTTTCGGTTTTCATATGATTTTTGGGGGAGAATACAAGTAAAATGTGTAGATCTATGTGTTATATGCATGTCTTGTGTGAATTCTTAGTTTATTTTGTAAAAATGTGTTAGATCTAAACAAATCTCGACATTCTAAGTGACATTGAGTAAAGATCCATGAACTAAGACACTATATACATCATACTATCAAGCCAAAAGTGATTACATGTTTAAGAAATAAAAGTTAAAAGAAAAACCTTGTTCAGGGTCAAAATTGTCAAGAAAACAAAAGATAAGGGCAAAAAGTGACATTTATGTTTTTATAGGGACCAAAAAGGTCCTACGTGTATAAAAAGGGGATTTTTATGTTAAACATACTTTCCAAAGGGCCAAAAATGTAACTTTTATCAAAATTGGGCCGAAAGTGTAAAGTTTTACAAACAAGGGGCTGAAAATGCAATTGTCTGTAAAACTAGGCCTTAAATGTCAAAATATATATTTTTGGACTAAAACCGTGAATTTCTAGACATTGGGACAAAATTACAAATGTTTACAAATTATGGACGAAAGTGTCATTTTTTCAAAACTTTGGGCCTTAATTGAAAATTTTGAAACTTATCGACCAAGAACGTCGTTTTCACAAAAGAGGACTTATTATATTCAATTCAGTAAATATTGAACTAAAACAAATAACGAAATAATAACAAATGGACGTAATACAACGATAACAAATTTATTGGACCTAATATTCACGTTACATGGCCAATGGGCCTTAAAGGCACATTTAAGTGTATATTGAGCCCAATATTTTCCATGACATATTTATTGGGCCTTGCGACCCATTTACCTGTTAATCTGGGCCTGAACTATGGGTCACATGTTTGTTGGGCCTTGGTGGTCCACTTACATGCCTATTGGGCCCAAATTACCCACTTACATGTTAATGGGCCTTTGTGATCCAGTTACATGCTAATTGGGCTTGGACAGAAATTCACATGCTTAGTAGATTGTAGCTATACCTTTACATAACTATTGAACTTTGTATACGTATAAATGTACCTTTGGATGGATAACGCATAACATACATGTAAACATTAAACATAGTACGAAAGGTTGAGAATCTACTGAGATGTGACGGGTGGCACCTTGAGTGTACAGTCGTAGCTTGTAGTTATAATCAGAGTCTCCTGGAGGGAGAGCGAGAGTTTGTGTATAGATCTATACGGGGTGACCCCCCACGCCTTAGTTGTTCGCTACAGCTAGACTAGGCCAGTCTAGGGCAACAAAACCTTGAGCAAATACCGGTATTTGGAAAAATGTTAAGACAGGCAACCTAGTCATTATCATGTATGATTATAACGGTTCATATAGAGATCCAATACCAAAAATTAACACTTCGGAGATTAACCCTTCGATTGTGTCAATACGAAACAACTTACCTAACTATACAAGAACCTCGACATTTTTATAAATCGGAAAATATCGGATTTTCTGGGAAAAGATTAATATACAACTATCACTTACCTACAATATAAAGAAATCTAAACTATTTTTATATATGTTACTACTGTGAAATTCACACATGCATTTATACTTGATTTTCACATCATTTTCAAACATTTTACAAAAAATATCGGATTTTCTGGGTTTTTACGAAGGGTACAAAGACTTTTACTCAAACATACTTATAAACTCACCTACATTATATATGTTGACCCTTTTCAAAATAACTTGTATTCTCAGGTAATCGTTAAGCTGGAAGGTTTTCAAGTGTGTATGGTTTCGTTTTATGTAACATCACTCATCGTAGTTTTAATAATTTGAACTTATGTATTTATAACAATGTACTTGATGTGAACAATGTTGGTTGTAATATGAAATGTTGGTTATGAATGTGTTATGTTTCATGTGTATTCATTGTGAAGATAATTCAATTGTTAGTCACACGAGCCGCCGGACGTTTCCGCCGTCTGGTTCGGGGGTGTGACATAAATTTCATAACGCATTTCACAAAATCTCATTTGTTTAGTTTACAAAACACATCTCCATAATTGATTGATTAATAATCCTGGATCCTCAAAACATAACTCCTTCTCTGGTGTGTACAATCGAGTCGGTGCCTTCCCGCGATCCTGAGAAAAACCTGAAACACATAACACATAACACGGTAAGCACGAAGCTTAGTGAGTTCCCCAAAATACCGCACACACAGCTCATTAGCCACTCGAGGATATATCACTGTAAGACCCTCCGGTCAATGTGACTCAGTGGGACCCTCCAGTCCCACGGTTCGTTGGACCCTCTGGTCCGGTATGTAAATCTCCGCATAACATAAATCACAAAGACAATATGCATAGCATACAACAATAAGCAAGATAACATAACACTCAATGTAAGCACGTAAGACCCTCCGGTCACATATAAGTACCACTCTAGGTAAAGTATAGTGAGAAGACTCACCTCGGATGAAGAACAGCTCCTAAAAACGCTGCTGCTGCGCACCGGCCTCTAACTCTAAGCCAAAACCCACAATTAACCCAATTAGGAACTATGTCCAGACTCTCACTCATTAGGTCTAAATGAAGACCACTAACCAGCCCATTAATAGCCTAATACCCATTGGGCCCACCAAGGCCCAATAATAAATGGGTTCACTCGAGGCCCACTCTCGAAACTAAATGGAAAGCCCCACTCAAGGGCCTAAGCACGAATATTCCTCTGGTTCAATACCCTATTGTAACAAGCCCAAACTCCAGGCCCAACACTCAAGGCCCCAAAATGAGACTTTGCCCAAAAGTCCACAGTGAGGTTACGCGGGGCGTACCTCCCTTGGTACGCTCAGCGTACTCACCATCCAGATTGGCCATCGGGGACACTGGTCAGTATGCGGGGCGTACTCGAATTACGCTCAGCGTACGTCCAGGATTGTTATCTCCACTCCATTGGTCTTAATCCGTTAAGACCATAGCTATACTCTTAGATCTGGTCTCCATAAAGGCTCATACACAATAAAGCTCGTGACTTTATGCCTTTGCATGGCAGATCAAGTCCCAAACACAAAAACTATTACTCTATACTCCGAAAAATACTCATATCTTATGCATGAGGTGGTTCCAACGTCCAAGGCCTCATTTTTATGAATCCTCTCCACTAGAACACTTAAAGGGACATATATTAGGCTCCGGAGTTCAACAACTTAAAAAGCTTCAAGCTTTGGGACCAAAAACCCTAAAATGAACCCAAAACAAAAACTAGCACAACAATAAGCAAGTTTGATACCTCTGGAAGATGCACCAACAAGAGAAGAACATAGATCCAAAAGCTAGATGCTCAAGCTATTCTCTTTCAAAGCTCCTTCTTCTTCAAAAGCCAAACATAACAAGTCATCACCCCACTAGATCCACATGAGAAAGCCACCAAGATTCAAACTTTATGCTTTCTGGAACTAGATCAACCTGATTAGGGCTTGGATCCACAAGCTCCAAGCCAAGCAATGCTTCCTCAAGGAACTCCTTCTTCCACAATACGCACCAAAAACTCACTAAATAACCAAAATGCTCAAGAATCACTCAAATGGAGGCTTGGGGTCGATTTCTAGGGTTTAGAGGGATGGAGGCTGAAGATATTAGGGTTAGGTTATGAGATAAGGAGCTTAAATAGGGTCCAAGACCCTAAAATAGGGTTCAGGTCTGATTAGCGTACGCCCAACGTACATATGGTACGCCCAACGTACTCCGAAGAACATCGCGACTACCCCTGGTCAGTACGCCCAGCGTACTCCAAAGTACGCCCAACGTACTTCCTTTTTCACTAGTACGCCCAGCGTATGCTTTGTGTACGCCCAACGTACTCGGCTAAGCCTGAAACCACAAAACTTCTGAAGGCCATAACTTCTTCGTTATAAATCCGTTTCCGACGATCCTTACATCCACGAAAAGGTAACGAGAATCCCTACACTTGTATCTACTTTATTCCTCCTGAAGCCCACTCGAACTCAGATCCAAAATTCATGAAAAGTCCGAACCACCGCTTTTAACAATACATTTGGGCTCTAAAGCACAAACCGAACTCCTTTATCACACCACCTACCTTACCCGCATCCCAAAAGGGCCTAAACCTTTCTCTTTCAAAGCCTCAAAACCTTCTCATACTCGGATTAAGGCCCATGGGCCTTAAATCATAAAACTATCCAGAACAGGATGTTACATAAGTCTCAAAATTCCGTAATAAATATATATCAGCGCGACTGTTTACTGATCTGATCTGCAACATCGAAGCCTTAAATCCTGGTGGCGATTGTTGTTGGTGGATGAAATTTCTTTAGTGATGACACATGGGTAACATCAAATGGTCTTGATGGAACTTCTTCTTATCAAATTGGGTAATGCAAGTGTACTTTAAATAAATGTGAAGTATATTCCAAAGGGTTAATCTGGTAATTATGTTTTCATATATGAACAGTATGATGTCAACTGTGATGGATTCCTTTCTACTCCGATCAACATTACGAAAATTAGGTGTTGAGGCATGTCTACAATCATCATGTTGTATGCCAGAAGGGATTAATGACCAAAACTCCTGTTGTTACACAACTGCAAATTTTGAATCAACTTATAGAGTTATTGCTTTTATCTTCCAATATCCTACAATTTCTTTTGTTCTTTCATTTGGGTTTCCACCTTCGGCTATAAGGTTCTTCAAAAATTGTTGTGAAATTTTTGTGTTCTCCTTTCTGTTTTACCCTATACAGATTAATTTGTTTAGTTTATGGAAATCGGTATTAATTGCCACATAATATCTATAATTAATAATTATTGACCAATTTGCCCTAGTGTAACTTTTATCTTTAAAAAAAATGTTTTTTTAGCTTTTGTAGTTGATATCACTTATAAGTTCTTCAAGGGTAATATTGGAATTTGTGGTTCATCTCTGTGGAAATGGAAGCTCCTACTGTTGCTTTTACTATTATGGTTTTGAAGTCCCTTACTATTCATGATTTTTGTTGTGCTGTTTGATGTAACTGTTTATTATAAAGGAGTTCATGGTGAGGAGCTTTATCTTATTCCATTGTCGAAATATTTATATGCACATTTGACAATATTGCTTAATTTTTACTTTTTTTTATAAATTTTTAGATGACCTGAATGAAACTTATTTTGTTGGTAATGTTGATGTTGATGATTCATCTCTATGGTTGGTCAAATGTACTTATCAGTGCTTTGAAAAATCAATAGCTATCGGTAAGTATTGCTCATCATTGTTTTGGTTGGGATGGAATGAAATGTGATGTAATGACAAAGTAATGAATGGAATCAACAGTTCTATTCCCTTGTCAGTTTCTTCCCACCAAACATTTCCTAATATCTTTATTCAGCGTGAAAATTGATGAATTTCTGTATTTTTTTTGTCTCAATTTCAGTTTTACTCAATTGTTGCCACTAAATTAGATAAAGGTCTGAGTATTTTCGGTTAATAAACAAGTTTCTTTTTTAACAAGCAATTTCCTGTGTTTTGTTTCGATTCTGAAGGGGAATGAGGTGGATGGTGTAAATGTGAAGGAATTTTACTTCAGATGGTCATGGGTGTGTTTCTTGATCAGTTGGGTGTGTTCATGACATGGAATTGTGCTTAAGTTAGCTTGAATTCTTTCTATACAAAAGATTTTAGCCATGGCTGCTTCGAAGAACAGAGGTGGTCCGGAGCCAAACGAATGAGCTTGAAAAGGTTTTATATTACTCTAACTATTATATAATTGATGGTATATTGTTTGGTTTTAGGCACTCAAATATTTTTCTCTTTTATTTTGCTTAGTTCTTGGTTGAAGATGGAATGTAAAAGAATCTGCAAGAGGCTATAAAAAAAAAAATACTGGCCTGTTATAGAAGGCAAGAAGGCAGATCCTCAGTTCATCAGGTATAATTTCTTTGTTGATCGTTGGCTTATTGGAACAAGTATTGACAATTTTACTGAGTTCCAATGCTTTTGTTTGCCTATTTTCAATGATTTTAATGGCCACTGTATTTTTTGTTGATTTTGATCAATTTTCTGTTCACCTTATGTGAATATGATATGTAGAGGACTATTCAATAATTTTACCTTTTTTTTTTCTCATTTTTGAGACCTGTCAGTCCAATACATAGCCTAATTTCTACTTTGAACTTTGACTCTTCTGCAATCTTAATTTTTGAAACAAAACTAGATATTAAAACAATGATTCTTTTTACCTGTAACATAATATAAACCTAAAAAAGACTCATTTATCTAATCCTACTGCTATGTTTTCTTTTTTAATATTTTTTTTCTTCTGTCGTGATTGCCTTTTTTAAAATTTTAATAGGAATTATAGCTACAGTGACAATTATGTTTTTTTTTGTTATTTAGATTAGGTCACATCACTTTATGAAAACACTCTTCATCATATGAATCTTAATTTGTTGTTTTGGCATTGTGAAATTTTGTTTTTACAGAAATGGCCGGTTGTTGAGAAGCTTCATTTTTATGTGAAAACAACACTGATGGGATTCTGGGATGGACGATTATATTTACTTCAGGACACAGAGATAAAGCGTAGAACAAACTCATCATAGTTTCATTTGTTTTGGAATTTATTCTTCAAAAATTGTTTAAATGACCATTAAAGGGGCTGTTTTCCTATTTTTGTAATATCTACTCTTAAGTGCAATCCAGTTTCGCATATAAATGCATGATGTTGACCCATTGAAACAAAAAAAAAACCCTTCTTGACCCATGCAAAGCATGGGTCCTTCCCTAGTTTGGACTATAATTCACAAATGGTTACAACCAATATCAACAATCTTAGTAAAACATATTATAATTACAAATGCTAAGATCAAAATAAGTAGTTGTCTAATTAAGCTTCACTTTTTCTTCACTTCCAACAGTCCATCGTCAGCAAAGTGCCAAGAAGTGATCATATATGGACAATGTACATTTAATCTTCGCAATAGAACCTGGAATATATGGAAATATAAAACCAAATATGTAAAATAATAATGTCTCATGAGTTGTATAGGTTTTAGACACACATATCATTTTCAAAATATAGTAAGAAAGTTTCAAATTTATTAATATCTTATACCTAATGCAATAAGTATAATGCATGACCACATTCCAAATGCAACAATGGGGAGTTAATACCCCAAAGTTTGGCTTCCCTGACTTCATTTTTTTTATACTTCCACTCGTTGACAAACTGATTCTTATTCACTTCGGCTACGTACCGACTCTTATTTTTATAGATAGAGTCTAATCACAATCGTGACATTCCATGTCTACTTGTCACTAATAGAAAATGAGATCAATCTACAATAACCTCACATTTATATGACATCTACATCGCAAAATGAGGTACCACGTCAAACTCCCCAACCGACGACGGAAACGCGAGATTGTGCGATGTAATAATGGATTCCAGTCATTTGCATACATAGAACAATATGATAACATAATGTATAAACTTTTACTAAGACAAAAGGGAAATCACATTGTCTTTAACATGAGACTACGTTATAATATGGCAATACGGTGAATGCCTTAACAGACATGCAACGATAAAAATACAGTAATGTAATAGATAAATCGTGATCCCATGTTTGTTCTGAGTGTAATTAACATCTAGCTTCTTATATCCCTGAGAATAAATATGTTTTAAATAATATCAACATAAAGTTAGTCAGTTTCATAGGTTTGACTCAAAGTACTTTTATACCAAAAAGTATGTGCATATTGTATTTAAGTGCTTCGTAACCTTTATATATATATATATATATATATATATATATATATATATATATATATGTGTGTGTGTGTGTATGTGTGTTTATATATCATACACACTCACACATACACACACTCACACACACACACATATATATATATATATATATATATATATATATATATATATACATACATACATACATACATTTAACCCAAAATCATACGTTTACGTTGTATCTAAGTACTATTCCAAGTTAGATGAATGCATTTAGAGTTTTCTCAACGATTACAATAAGTCCCTACAACCGAACAGTTTGATGAGTGGTTGCACCTCACGATGCTGTTGTTTTACGTTGTAGAATTCTTCTTCGAGACGCTTCACCGGACGTCACGGGTGTGTAGATAGTTATCACTCATTGTAACTCTTCCGTCAAAGTTGTAGCTAGCAACCATAGGTGGGGATATCAACCCATATAGATCTATACATAAATCTCCCGCTTACTTAATAATTATCGTTTATAGGTCAGTGGTCTTGCTAAGCATTACAATTAGGTGATGAAATGTCTCATGTAAATCATCGAGTGAACCGAGCTAAACGTGCATGTGCCTTGACATTAATTGTCAACGTTAAAAAGAAATAACGTTAAAAAGAAATAGTTTGATTACGTAAACATTGTAAATGTTTATAATTATCATACCAGCTATGTAAACAAACCTTCAAGAGATATACATGATGCAACTTCAAAGATATTGTTTATAGGGTAAATGACACAAATGCCCTACGAATTTTCTAGGGTTGGTCTTTTTAGTCCCTAAACTATTTTTGTGGCTTTATGAGGGAACGAACTCATGGGCAACCTTTATTTTTAGTACCCTTTACTTATTATAGCTGGTTTGAGTGATGCAGACAAAACTTGGGGCCTATTTTGCTACTGTTCATCATCTTCCTATATGTTAAACTCTTGCATTAACAATGGACTCCGGCCTACCACCTTCGAAATATCCACCAGCACCGACGGGACCGTCACTTCCATTCATTTTGGCACCAACTGGAAGTCCTTGAACTAGGGGTGAGCATTTGGACCAAACCGGACCGGACCAGACCGGTTATGGAGAATATTGTGGATCGTGGACCGGACCGAATGAGTCGTGTCCGTGTCCTTGTCCGTGTTCGGGCCCGGGTCCGGGTCCAGGTCCAGGTCCTGATTTTCTAGTTCTTGGACCTGTTTGGACCGGTACAACTTTAATAGCATAGAGTACAAGTCGTTAAAATAAGTTTTTGGGTTTGATAGAACTCGTTAAAATGAATATGTTATTGGGTTTGATACGATTCAACTTGTAAAAATGATTACGTTTCCGTTTCACGCATAACTAATCTACCTTGATGTTATAATATTATAACTTGCAATATTAATTTTCCAAATAAAAGCAACTAACATATAAATCAAGTTCACCATGATCTCTTTCATATGATTTATCTGACAAAGATACATAAAATTCAGAATTATAGTCTAAAATAATAGTTAAAAAGCTGAAATATTTCAGCTTTTATAGCTCAAATTTGAAGGATTGTAACTCACTGAATATAATACCAAAATCAACAAAATTATAGTCTAAATTCATCTACAAACTGTAAACTAAATGCTGGAAAAAACCGTAGGTTAATCCGACTTAAAACGAATGAGTTATGGTTGTTTAAACATTTTCACAAATTACAAAATTATAAAAATCTTGCTGAAAAGCTGAACTTTTTCAGCTTTAATAGCTCAACTTTGAAAGACTGTAACTTACTGAATATAATACCAAAATCAACAAAATTATAGTTTAATTTCATCTACAAACTGTAAGTTAAACGTTGGAAAAAACCGAGTGTCAATCCGACTTAAAAAGAATGGGTTATGGTTGTTTAAAAATTTTCACAGATTACAAAATTTTAAAAATGTTGCTGAAAAGCTGAAATTTTTTAGCTTTGATAGCTCAACTTTGAAAGACTGTAACTCATTGAATATAATACCAAAATCAACAAAATTATAGTCTAAATTCATCTACAAACTATAAGTTAAACGTTGGAAAAAACCGCGTGTCAATCCGACTTAAAACAAATGAGTTATGGTTGTTTAAAAAACTTCACAGATTACATTTTTTTTAAATCGGGTCCAACCGGTTCTAAACCCGGTAAAAACCGGACCGGACCGGGAAAAAAACTTGACCGGTTTTGATGGATTCCTAGAACCGAGAATCAGCCCGGGGGTCCAAGAAAACGTTTCGGTCCGGTCCGGTCCACCGGTCCAAATGCTAACCCCTACCTTGAATAACTTGCATATTCCCCTAATTTTTGTTATTTCCTCTAGCCGCTACCGCCATTCCTTTGTTCTGGATCTATTCTGATGGTGTAAAATCCTGCTTATCAAAGTAAAATTAAACCAACAACAACATCAAATAATTAAAATTTTGATGAAACCTAGAAATTGAATGCGTCTGAGTCTCTTCCCCTTGTTGGGTCAAAATATTGGTTTATACTTTGCTTTTCTAAGAAAATGTATTTTTCCGTAATTTTTACGCCTGTACACACGTGTACGGCTGGTGTCTCATATATATAGGGTGAGGAGTCATGTGAGTGTAAGGCTAGAGAAGGAGAGCATATTGTAGAGAGAGAAACAAGAGAGAAGAAGAGTGTGTGTGAATCTTGTATTTGGATCTACATTCTAATCATCAAATAATACAAGATTCATCATCTTCTTCTTCTCCTTCTCTTCTTATTGTGATCTGGCATCATCCGTTTGATTGGGATTCCGCACCATCAAACGGATCTGATTGATACACAAGCAGATTGGGGACTTACAATTGGTATTAGAGCTTGGATTGTATCAATCAGTTTTGTCAGATCTGGAGCTTATTTGATCTTATTTTTGAAGGATTTTGGCGTTTTTGGATAGATCTCTGAAAATTAAGGAGGGTTTGTTCTTTGCATTTTTGATAAAAACGAGTTTTTGATCGAGTTTTGGAGCAAAAATGGTGAAAAACGTCGTTTTTTTCGCGATCTGATTGAAGGTGTGCGGCTCGGAGTGTGCGGTTCGGACGTGTGCGGTCTCGGTGTGCGGCTCGGTCTCGTGTACGGTCCAATCCTCGCTTCCAACCTCGTCTCGTTCAGCAACAGCATCGCAGCAGCGTTCACTAAAAAAAAAACGAAATTGAGGGTGCATGGGATCGAACCCGGGTCTCCTCCCAAATGAAGCAACGCCTTAACCAACTCATCTAGGCTGGGAGTTGATATCCTCCTTCTGTTTTTAATTCTTAAATATTCGCTTTCTCGTTTCTAATTTAGCAAATTTGTCACTTTTAACCCAAAAATCAGTTTCTTTTAATTTTAAATTCTATTTTCTTCCAATAATTTTAGCTTTTAATTTTTAAACTTTTATTTTTTACTTTTTACTTAAAATTTTGACTTTGACTTTTAAGATTTGACTTTTGACTTTAAACTTTGACTTTCTCGTTTAACTTTTAAATTTTCAAATTTAGCTTTTCGGTTTAACTTTTAAGTTTGACTTTTCAAGTTTGACTTTTGAGTTTGACTTTTTAAATTTGACTTTTAAGGTTGACTTTTGAGGTTTATAGTCAAAGGGCATGTTTTTTTAAGTTTGACTTTTAAGTTTGATTTTGGCTTCTAGTTGTGCTTTTAATGGCTTTTGAGGTCTACGAGGGAATTGAAGACATGAAAGAGAGTCGTCAGGATATGTTAAGACAAAATTTCAACATGTTCGATAATATCCCTAGAGAAACCCTGGAAGCTCAGTTGCAGCGATTTACTACACTTACTACTGAGATGAATATAGCTGGGATTTTCTTGACTAAATCCGAGATAAACAAAAAGCTGCGGAATTCACTTCCGAAATCGTGGGATATG